GTCTAAGTTCGACTTGGGAATTTTTTTGTTCAATAATAAATGTGAATTCTTCTTCCTGGAAAAAATAAGACATTCCCTGAAAATAAGACCTAGCGCATTTTTCAGAGCAAAAATTAATATAAGACACTGTCTTATTTTCGGGGAAACACGGTATATAAGTTTCATTACATGTTTAAAATAATATTTTGTTTAAATACAAAACCAGTGTAGATATAAATACAAAACAAACTACTTTTAGAATGCCATAATGAAATAAAATATATAATTAGAAAGAGAAATAAGAGATTAAAAAATATTTAATAATTTAAAATAAATTGTTGTTATATCAATCAATCTTAAAACATGAATAAATGATACAAAAAACAAAAGTGTTAAAGGTTGCCACTGATTAATCAGAATGGATTGGATGGATGCAACCAGAGAGGGTACATAGTTGTGTTTTCTGAAGACATCAATTCCAATTATTATTTCTGATCTAATGTGCAGACAGATTTTGTCTTCATCAAATTCTTATTCAAACTAGTTCCATCATATTTAGTATTAATTTTTGATTGTTGAACTTATTTTTAATCTTGTATATTTTTTAATTATTTTAACAATAAAATAACTTAAAGATTTTGTCCAGCACATAATTGAATTAAGAATTGCCAGCAGTTTAAATGAATGTAATGAAAATCAATACCTATTAAAATGGTAGCCAGTGCTTTAAATATTAATTTAATAAATGTACATAATTAAACTGCATGTTGAGGCCAATATAAAAATAGCCTAAAAATTCCCATTAACTTGAATTCAAATTTACAAATAGCAAAGTTTTACATGTGTATTTAAATTTACAGTATATTATTTGTATAATTAAAGTATATTTTTATTTTGAAATGTGCAAATTCTGATAACATTAAATGACTAACAATATCTGTGATTACAATAAATGGGATCTATTGTATTTAAATTAGCTAGTCTTATGTAATTAAAAGTAATTTATTTTTTTTATACTTGTTCTGTTAATCCATCATATTGTAACTTTGCTGCTAATGAAGTTGTCACATCAATAACTTGCCTTCCAGAAGGACTAGAAATATAAAAATATGAATATTAGTAAAATTGTTAAAATTATTATTCAGATAAATTATCAAATTGAAAGACTTACAGAGCAACAATAGCCTGTTGTTTTAATCCAGCTTTCCATAATATTTTTGACAATGTTCTTATTAATGATGTTTTACAAGCTCGTGTTGTTGGTCTCAAACTAAAAGTAATCAAATTAAAGTAAATCAAATTTAAATAAAATTTCAAAATCTATAAAAGAAACAGTGGCGTAGCGTGGGTGTCAGCTGCCTGGGACAAAGGAAAATTTTGCCGCCCCCTTATTTAGGTATCTCAATTTAAAAGACTAAAATTCAGTTTCGTCACAGAATAAGTAATGAAAAATTCCGTGCTAGTGTTACCACCTTTTTAAAATCGCTGACCCGGACGGCAGGTGAGGTTTGTTTGAACAGAAGTTCCTGCATGCGTAATGTCATTTTGCAATGCGAAGAATAATGTGCAGTGCATGCCGGTTGTAAATCAGTTACAGTTAGGGACTAGAGAGACTTGGGTAGGAGTAACGTAAGTAACCTAGATGACTTAGCTCTATTGGATATTGGAGATGTGTATGAATACGAATCCTACAAGCAAAAAGGAAGAAAAAAAAAAAGGTCGACAGGTTGCGCACGATATTGCTGGGAAAAATTAACAGTTCACCCAGACAGCGAGTTGATTCCTGGACTGTCCGGGTGGTAATTCCATGCTCATTTTAATCGGTCCGAATTGTAGGTGCGACGAAAATATGAAATGAAATGGTTCAAATTTTTACAAAATATTATTATTATTTATTGTGAAATTTTGCCACCTGGGGCAGGCCACCCCTGCTGCCCCCACTACGCTATGCCACTGAAAAGAAACATGATGTTTACCATCCATTAACACAAAAATCTTGATAATTGTGAAACAATAATTCAAGCAGTATATGAGACTGAACAGCTGCCAAAATTCCACATGGTCCTCCCTAAAATTTATTTTATACTGATTATTTATTCATTATTATGTAATGTAAACATAAATTTTTATTCAATTTTATTAAACTACATTTATATACAGAATGTTCTTCAATGTAGGATCTTAACTTGAGAAATAAATTTCTTAACTGAAGAAAAGGTAAAAGATCACAAATATGTATGTGTAATTATGAAATGCAAAACTGTGGAGGTGATTGAATATACAATGGAACCTCACTTAACGAGTAATTCACATAATGAGCAAAACAAATTGTAAAAAAATGACTTGCTTAACGAGCGACATTTCGCATAATGAGTGATGAGGAGAGGGGAAGTCCTGGATTGTGCACATGCGCCATCAGTCTGTGTTTAGCATTTGTTCTGCTAGCATTTTAGTGTCACTTGTGATCACATATTTTTCCAAACTTGTGTTCAGACAAGTTTGGAATGCATCAGTGGTTTTCAACCTTTTTTTTTGTCACGGCACACTTTTAGTACTTTAAAAATTTGGCAGCACACTAACAATAAGATAAATTGTAAAAAATATTACTTGGTTAATTGAGGGATGTACAGTACCTATAATATATTTTGTAAAAATAGCATACGATAATAATTTTCAATTAAATATAAAATGAAATTGCATTACAAAGTAAACAAAATGTTTATTTAATGATAAATTACAAATTACATTTAATGCAAAATTTGAGCTTGGTGTTTTTTGATAACTTCATTTATATTTGGGCGTAAAAATGATAATGCTACTCTCGTTTCGTGATCCAGATTTAAAAGACTGGATCTCTTTCTCATTTTTATGTTGGTCAAAGCTGAAAATCCAAGTTTGCACGAATAAGATGTGGAAAAGCTTATTGTGATACTGTCGGATAATCGTATCTAAGATTAATCCAGAACGAATTAGTTGATTCTTTTGAATGTTTTGAAATTAAATCTCGGTTATTACACACTGAAATCAGTTCCTCCTCTTCTTTCAAAGTTAACTCATACACCAACGTGTCATTTATCACAAATGGATTTCGAATCCAATCAAATTTTTTTGTTTAAATTTTTTTTTTCATTATCATCAATAAACTTTATTTATAATAGGCTTATGCCTTTTTTGTTTAAATTTGGAAAGTAATAAACAATTCTTTGCTCAACTATTGTCAAATGATTAATAACTATTTTATGAATTATTTTATAGCAGTCTTTTGGAACTGATCCAAATTTTTCTAAACTACCTTCTTGTGCCTTATTCTTCCATAAAGTACTTTTTTTTTAAATCCCAACAATTTATCAGTGGAGTTTAAAATATTTTCATTCAGTCCTTGCATACTTGTATTTATGTTATTAAAAATAACAAAAATATCAGATAAGTAAGCTAGCTTAGCACACCATATTTTGTCATCCAGCAAATCATTATTATCTTGTTCAAAAAGTAACTTTATCTCGTCTTTTAATTCAAGCACGCGAGATAAAACCTTCCTTCTGGACAACCATCTAACTTCCGTGTGCAATAACGATTCGTATTTAGACTCCATAGCCTGGCATAGTTGACTAAATAAGCGACTTTGCAATGGTCTTGATTTTATGTAATTAATCATTTTAACACATTGTTCCAGCACTATTTTCAACTCTGATGATAAATGTTTTGTAACAAGTGTTTCCAGATGCGAAAAACAATGGGTAACTGATATATCTGCATTATGTCCCCTTACATGTGCTAAAAATACTTTTATAGATCCAGTCATAGCTGGAGCACCATCTGTGCAAATGCCAATGCACATATTCCACGAAACATTAATTTCTTGTAAATACAAATTAATAACATTGAAAATATGTTTTCCTGTTGTAAAATCAGATAATTCATGACAACATAAAAATTGATTAATTATATCATTTTCATGAATGAATCGATGGAATGCAATTAAGTCTGCTTTTCCCGTAATATCAGTTGTTTCGTCGATTTGTAGTGCAAAATTGGAATTTGCAAGAGTTTTACCAGTATTTTGTTCAATATTTCGGGACAAGTCTATAATCCTGCGATGAATTGTGTCATTTGAAAGTGGTAGTTTACAAATGTCAAGTTTCTGCTGATTCACCCATCATTTTTTTACAATTTTACGGCAAGCAGGTAATATAATTTCTTCAGCCATATTATGAGGTTTTAATTTAAGAGCAATTAATTCAGCCACTTCATAAGAAGCTATTTCAGCTTTTTCAGACACACTAAATTGTTTTTCAAAAACCTTTACTTGTTTGGATCTTGCAGATAATGATTTCTGAAAGTAGCTTTTGTCTTTTGATGCAAGCGAAGGATGATTAGTGAGCAAGTGACATTGGAGCTTGCTGGGAACCATAGCACTGTTTGACAATTTACAGCAACATACCACTCACTCGGGAACAGTTTGATCATTTTCCATTGTAGATGTAAATCCAAATTTTAAGAAGTCCTCATTATATTTACAATGAACATTACATTTTTTTGGCAGAGAAAACATCTTTACTTAGACTGGGCTCGGGCTCAGCCTGATCGTTAACATCATTATTGTCATTAAACTTTCTTTTTTTTTATCCATTTATCCATTTTAAGAGGTTCTTTTAAAATAAAAATAATTTTGTCAAAAAATTATTAAAAACGACATATACTTTGAATCCGTTTTAATTAAGTTTGACAACACAATATTGCGGTATTGCCCCAGAACTTTAATAGTCATGCGCATNTTAATAAAATACATATATATGTAACTTACAGGCAGTGAGCAGCAATATCACTGAATGCAAATAAAATGATGCAGAAAATTTAACATTTTTCAAAATGATGAAATATTGTCATTCTGTATGTTTCAGCTGAAGCTGAATTGACAATATATCATCAATTCAGTTTCAAACATAGAAGGGTTAACATTTATCCAGGTGCAAAAGAGATCTTTTCAGCATTGCATAAGCATATGAAGTATGATGCATTAGTTCTACTGCAATGTTTACAGTAAAATAAATTTCATTCATTCAACACTGTAAGTAAAATAAACTAATTCATTCCATGAGTGCATTCCAGCAAACAATAAGTGGTGCAATTGGAATGCACTCGTGGAATATACATGCTGCTACTTGTGCATTTTGTCACATTTCTCCATAAAGTATAACCATGTGACATGATTCACAGTAGTGTTCATGAGTAATAGACATAGTTACAGTGCTCTATCAATTAGCAGACTGAATAATGTTGGTTCTTTTAAAATAAAAATAATTTTGTCAAAAAATTATTAAAAACGACATATACTTTGAATCCGTTTTAATTAAGTTTGACAACACAATATTGCGGTATTGCCCCAGAACTTTAATAGTCATGCGCATCAGCTCAGCCAGTCCCCGCTAGAGGCACGTTTCGAAATTCTAACTGGTAACACTGCGGTAACATTCAGAATCATATGACAATGATGATTCGACAAGTTCATCAAAAAAATAAAATGAACTTGTAGAATTTTAACAGGTATTGGAAAAAAATTATCTTCATTTAGTTTATATTGTGAAATCGATAATTTTGTAGCGTTTACTGGCCATTTTCCATTCTGTCTTGCCTAAAAAGTTCCAAGCTGGGTGGAAGTCTTCACCACCTTTAAACATCCAGCATATAGCCCCAATTTAGTGCTGAGTGACTTCCACCTCTTTCCTGAACAGAAAAAGTGGCTAGGAGGATAGAGGTTCGAGACTAATGACAATCTTCAAAACAACATTAGGGCCCTTCTCAAGTCATTGGCGGCAACATTCTATGAAGAGAGGATGGAAAAGCTCGTCCACAGATATGACAAATGCCTCAATCTTCACAGTGATTACGTCAAAAAGTAACCATGTTTGTACCTAACTTTTGGTAATAAATTCATTTTGTTATTTAGACTTGTCTTTTTTTTATGGACCATTGGAGCTTAAAAAAAAACAGCCTATGTATATTTATATAACTTAGAGGCGATAAACAGTAAATACCAAAATTGGAAAACAATAGAAAAAAATCAACTGGTGCATATGTTAAAAAAAAAAACTCACAACTCACCACACTTATATATCAAACACGTACCCTGAACCAATATAATGTGTGGTACGATCGACAAAACAAAAAACAAACATTTTCGAACCTCTTCTAGGTTCTTCCTCAGGTTCCTTTAGATTTTAGCTCGTAAATTCGATATTTCAAATAACTTCGTTCTTGCGATCGAACAGTTCTTTTTTAAAAGATGCGTCGCGCATGCCGTTCAAATTAATGACTGCCGTCAACGAAAGTCATTAACGAATGTTGTTTAAATAATTTCTTTCCTAAGATCGAACATTCTTTTAAATTATCCGTCACGCATGCATTTTTGTTTCGTCGATCGTACCACACATTATATTGGTTCAGTGTACGTGTTTGATATATAAGTGTGGTGAGTTGTGAGTTTTTTTTTTTAACATATGCACCAGTTGATTTTTTTCTATTGTTTTCCAATTTTGGTATTTACTGTTTATCGCCTCTAAGTTATATAAATATACATAGGCTGTTTTTTTTAAGCTCCAATGGTCCATAAAAAAAAGACAAGTCTAAATAACAAAATGAATTTATTACCAAAAGTTAGGTACAAACATGGTTACTTTTTGACGTAATCACTGTGAAGATTGAGGCATTTGTCATATCTGTGGACGAGCTTTTCCATCCTCTCTTCATAGAATGTTGCCGCCAATGACTTGAGAAGGGCCCTAATGTTGTTTTGAAGATTGTCATTAGTCTCAAACCTCTGCCCTCCTAGCCACTTTT